TTTTCATTCCCTCTCGTCCGCCGCGCAACCTCCTTTCTTCTTCTCACCACGCGCCCGCTTTGCTTCAAATTACTCTCGGGTTTGGATAAGGCAGACGCGAAGACAACCGCATTACGCGCCCGCCCACGCGCCTTTTCGCGCGCTGTTTCTCGTTTAATCTCAACATCGCGTCTCGCGACCGACAAAACTGGAAGGGAATTTCTAATTACTTTTCTTGCGAATTATTCGCGCGCGCGAGTAACCGTAAATAAATTCGCGCGATAACGCGCGTTCTCTCTCTCTCTCTCTTTCTCTATCTCTGTCGCGCTCTCTTTTCACATATCTCGCATATGTAAATAATATCCAATAAATGCCGCGCGGCGTATCGCTCCGGATATGATTCTCTTCCTTTCTGCGATGTGCGCGCCTCTGTGAATATATCGCAATCGTAGAAATTGATTCGACTCTCTTTTTCCACATACATATATATATATATATATATGTATATAGGATTAATATTGCGACAAGTGTGAATATATTAAACTTGGTTTTTTTGTCCTCGACACGATTGAACCTTTATTCTAAATACGCTTTTTTTTCCCGCGCGCGAATTTTGCACCGGAAGCTTTTTTTCACACCTCTCGATATTAATATTTATATACCATTAATGTTATTGTTATGGGGCGGCGGTGTCGGAGCTTCTTCGTGATAGAGATTAACGACTGGCCGGTTATAGCGCGCTCGCGCGGCATTAAATGATAAATCGTTGTCACGCTAGTGGCAATTATTGCTACCGTTGTCGATGGGATATGGCCGTTTACCCGGTGCGACTATTAATTAAACGCGACTCGATGATATCCGGCGAGAGTGTATAGTCTTTTTTTTTCTGTTTTTTTTTTTTTTTTTTTTGTTCCTCGCGCCGCGATCGGCCAGCCATCGGAAAATTGGGTCAAAAGCGTGGCGACGCCTTGAAAAATCGCACACGAGGCTGTCGTGTGGCGTGGAGGGTTATTCGCGCCGCTGTACAGAGTCTCTCTCTCTTTATCTTTCTCTTCTCTCTCGCGTTTAATATTTTCAATATTTTTACGATAACCGCGCTCGTTCAATCAATTCGCCAAACACATGGCAATTTATTAAACCAGCCGTGCGTACTTTGAAATCTGCATAAAGATATTACGACGCGCGCGCTCGCGTCGTCGCGCCGTAATGAAATGATCCATTGCCGCGATAATCAACTTAATAATAACCGTTCAATCATTCCGGCATCCCCCGAGCTCATTTCCCAATTCCGCTTGTTCTTCGTTCGTCGAACGCCGGAAACGTCAATCTACAAATTGCAACTATACACCGAGAGAGAGAGAGAGGGAGGGGACGGCGAAACCAATGCAGCGTAAACACTAACGAGCGCGCGTTACACGCGAGCAATAATTGCGATTAAACGTCGATCGCGTAGCGTCGGCGCGGTTTTAATCGAATTGCGTCGCGCGGTCAAGGCGGCGAAAGAAAAGTCACTGGGCTTTGTTCAAGGGTTATCGCGAAGTAGCGCGCGGTCACTTGGCAAAAAACACTCATCGTTTCTTGTCTCTAATTAACGCGCGCGGCGCGCTTTCAAGAACGCGAAACCTTGAAATCGTTTCTCGCGATCGTCTCATCGGTCTCTGAATCGATCGCGGCGCGATCGTTCGACCACGGCGTGGTTTTTTTTTTTTCGACGAAATTTTTTAGTCATCTCTCGCGTCGCGAGAAACGCGAGAATAGAAGAAGTGTATAACGAGAAATTGTATGTCGCGCGCTGAATATTCATGTAGTTTGTCACCGCATTTAATAGAATATAACACGAATAAGGCAGCGCCCTGCAAGTAGCGGCGCTCTCTCGCGAAAACATCGCGAGAGACGTCTCTCTGTTTTGTACGAGAGAGAGAGAGACATATATATATATACGTATATATATATAAGTCGATTTATAAGCGCGGCAATTTGCCGCGCCGTTGTCATCGTTTCGAAATGGGGACTGTGTAAATCCGTGAAAAATTCACGGGACGCGAAAAGTGCGCGAGGCGCTTCGCCGTGCCGCTAATGACACGACGACGAAGCGTGTTACGTTCTCGCTCTCCGGGGCTGTTCGCGGATAAATTGAGTTGCAGGCGCTAAATGTAAATCCTGAATGGAAGGCGATCTGCTTTCTCATCAATTATATCGCCGCTTGATGGATGAATCCCGCAACGGGTGTCCCGTTTTTTCGAAGAAAAGCGACCGTCCCCTTTGTTGTGTTCTTTTCTCTCGCTTGCTTTCTCTCTCTCGCTCACTTTGTTCCGAGTTTATTCATAAATACGCGTTTACCGCGGACGTTCGCGAGGACGACGCTCTCCGGCTCTCTGCCTCGTGTAATCCACGTCGAGTCGATAAATGAGCCGATATAAATATAACGGACCGTCCAATATAACCGCGGCTCATTATGTCGTTATATTACCGCGATCGTCGCGAGTTACGTTCATTTCGCGAACATCAATTCTCGATTAGAAAGTGGACTCGGAATATCTCTCGAATTTTCTCGTCACGCTAAAATCTCATTTAGACTCATTAAAATAACCGGTGATCGATCTTGGTGGAAAAGAGGGATGTTTCGATTTCGAGCCATTATATTCGCCATCTTCTTTTTCCTACAGTTCTCGACTTGCCACCACATGTCTCTCTCTCTCTCTGTGTGCGCACGCATTTAGACGTACACACACGCGCGCACGTACGCATCACATTCACACGTATACGGGATTTCTCGGGTGTCTTGTTTCGTCGCGATTTTCAGCTATTTTAAGGCAGACGAATCGCGCGGGGGAGGGGGGGTCGCGAGCTAAGCCAGTTTCGCGCGACCAAAGCGCACGTAGAGAAACGTGCGCCGTAGACGAACATAAATTACTTTCGGAGACGAGACGCGTCTTGACGCCGAGACGGGACTCGCGTCGTTTTTTATACTTTGCGGGAAATTCCTCGTGATCTCTCGGGAAGAGGAGAAGGGGATTACCTTAGGCTTCGAGTCTCACGCCGCTCGCGAGAGTTTGCAACCGCGAGCCTCCTTAAAAGCTCTTCCGAGCTTCCTCTTGACGAGGACGTTCCCGACCATTATGGGGGAAGGATATCGCCAAGGGTGGAGAGAAAGAGCTGCCGCAATGCAGGCAAGGGCGTTGTCAGGGGCGACCCTAGCGACCCTAAGGCCTCATTCGCGCCGAAATGCGCAGCAATCCGTTTGCGAAACAGCACCCGCGCGTCCGATCGGTCTCTCGATCGCGATTCGATTCCGATATGGCGGCCGCGCGGACGTAATTCGTTGAAATCGCTCGGTCGAATCCGACCGAATCGCTCCATTTGTCCGGCCGCGCGTTTCCGTTGACGTCGCACGTGTTCTCTCTCTCTCTCTCTCTCTCTCTCTTTCTATCTTTCTCGAAAACCCGTAATCTTGAATTTTGCAGCCGTATTTCGGCTGGATCGCGTTGAAATTTCAACGCGCAATGTCGCACGCGCGGATACATCAATAACGTCGCGCGAGAGAAGTTTGTGCACATCTCGAGAGACATTCGAGCGCTCTCTCGCGAGTTTTTTTTAATTTATGCGCATTATTTTTCTTCTGAATTTCTTCTCTCGTCGCCGCTTGTGTTCTTCTTTCTCCCTTTTGAAGCTGCTCCGCAGCGGGATCTCGCGAGTTTACGGGATTTGCAATTTAAAACTGGCGTGTACCGGTGTCTCTCACGGCTGTAATCTGGATATTTCAGTGACAGGATTACGGATGGGTCTCTAATAGGACGTGCGATGTAATCCCGTTAATTCCTCGTTATGCAAATGGCGAGATATACACGATTGCGTAATTGTGTTAACCCTCGCCGCGCTGAGAACCGCGTCTACATTATCCCCCCCCTCCCAGCCCCCCCGGAGGGGTGTATTACTCCCGCGGGGTAGGGTTTTTGTCGGATTCAGTCCGGGAAAATTCTTTCTTCGCGCGCGCGCTAAGTCTTCTCTATTCTCGTTTTAAAACTGTGCACTTCGTGCAATTACCTTCAATCTTCTTGTTTCTTTTCAACAAAGCCGGCTGTCGCCGCTAGTATTAGCACGACCTTGTTGCGCTTCTAAATGCAGGGAGCGTATAGGCGCCGTGTGGCGGAACTGTAAGCGGGCATACGTCGCGTTCGCCGTTTTAATTTAATTAAGGGAAAGCGAGTCGCACACGCGCCGGATCTTTCTCTCGCAAACAACACACAACGGGGGTGTATTAATTTCGTTTTCAACCGAAACTCACTCGGCGCGTATTTTCAGACGGATTTTCAAAGGTATTTTCACGCGCGCGCGCGCGCGCGACATGACGTACTCGCGTTTCGGCGTCAATTCCCGACGATTAAGGCGATTGACGCGAATCACGCCCGACCGATTGATTGTCCTTCCGTCTGTCACGTCTGTACTTTCGCGTCGCCGCAGAATCAATACGAGGGGAAAGGGACGACGAGAGTCATTACCAAAGAGAGAAAGCGGTGTCGAATTATCAAGCGCGCCAAATCAAGCTCTTCGAACTCGCGGGGACTGCTCTGTATTTACTCGTCCCATTAGCCCCGGAATTGGTATGTGGCACGTAAACGCGCGCGTAAAATAGTACGTCAATAAGTTAACCGAATTACCATAAATCGATGCGTCTTGCGTGTGTGTGTGTAGGTGTGTGTGTGTGTGTGTGCGCGCTTGCGGCGCGTGCCCGCTCGCGGCAATATCAGCGGGCAACGTACGTATGCACACAATGGCCGATGATGCCTTGTCGGTCCATTGTGCGTCCGACACGGGCGGAGGTTTGCCTCGTGACCGGTTAATCCGCGATTTACTTTAACGTTGACTCGAGAATGCGGTCGACATCGTGTCGGTGTTATATCGCGCGGTATTTAGAAAATTAAGGTCGCGTCAGCGCGCAGCTTCTCGTGTAGTTTAATATAAACTGGCAAGGTAGGATGCACGGAATAATAACGAGGCTTGTATTTATGTTTGCGTTACAGGTCGATTTGAAGCCGCTGCGGGAGGCGACGGTCGCGGTGCCCGCGCCGAAGATCCCCGAGAAGCGAAAAGCCGAGGACGCCGATGCCAGCAAGGACCTGAAGAAGGTAAGAAGCATATTAATCTCGCGCGCGGACTGTTGGAAGAACAATTTAATAGATTACGGCGCATCTCTCTCTCTCTCTCTCTCTATCTCTCTCTCTCTCTCTCTCTTCGAGAGATATTAAAGGAGGCCGCGACGAAATTAGGAAGATCCTCCCGAAGGAAGAGCTTCTCTCCGCTTCTCAAAGATACAACCATCGGAGTTTACAAGTTACTCCGGTAACTTCCGATCGTCTTCGGAAACTTCAATTAGTTGGAGAAAGTTGATCTTTGTCTTCCTCCAAACCGCTAAGTCACGTGGAATTGCAATTGCGAAGAATTGTTCTCGATCAGAACAATAATATCACGTGTCGCGTTACATATTCCCGTTGTTTCGCGAAAAATCGAACCGGTCTGTTATCTATTCTAACAAACTATCGCGCTATCCAAAAGAAATTTCGACGAGCATTAATATTTGCCAAACCGTTGAAGTTACTACGTCCGCATTTTTTTGCGAGCGTAAAATTACGCTTGCATTTCAACTTCTGTGTTAACTTTTCTGTAATACATACACACACAAAAAGAGAGAGAAAGAGAGAGAGAGAGAGAAAGAGATCATCTGTTATTAACACTGCGATTCGCAGTAAGTCCAAAAAAAAGAGAGAGATTTTTTTTCTCTCGTATATTCGCGCAAAATATATATATATATATATATATAAAAAAGTTTTAATTTCTCGTCGTAGAACATTGTACAATTCGTTTTCATACGGATGGATAACAACACAGCGATCTGACAAATCTCTCTCGGCATTATGTTCCGCGTCATACTCCGGAATGGTGTGTGATTAAGGCTTGCATTGTTAACAAGAGGGCTGCTCCGGATTTCGAGGCTTCGTAACTCACCCCGGGGCCCGGGCTGTGACGACACGGAGAATTAGGAGCGGATCATGTTAACGTACCACACCGCCTATACCATTTGCGTTGTATTTCGGTCGTCCTTGTCGATATTCGACGCGCCGTCGCGTCAGCCACGAGGCACGGCCTCATTAATCTGCTCTCGGCGCGCGCGCTCATTAACGAAATAAACGCGTCCGGTCCGGGAAGTTGGCGAGACCGCTTTGAGCAACTCGAGTTGTCGGCGGCGCCACACTGTTGCAAGAAGTCGTCGACTATGTTTGGCCTTTGATGTGTGCCCGCATCGCGATTACGAATCCCCTCCGGTTCTTTTTTCGACGCCGCGAGAATTACAACGACGAGGTATAACACGCACGGAATAAAAGAGAAGCCGCATAAATCCAGATTCCATCTACAATCTTCATTATATATGCATGAGGATCTGCCAACGGTAGCCAACGTATATCGCGCAAACCGACGAGTGAGTTTTGAGGTCTTGTTTCGTTGTCTTTTTTTTTTCTGGAGAAAAAAATTTTTTTTTTTTTTTTTACTCACAAAGCGCAGCGACCCGCTTCGTTGTATCTGCGTTACGTTAACGCGCGCACCCGTTCGAGCGATCGAGCGGAAAGACGTTCGATCGACCGACTGCAACGGGGTCCGAAACATCACGGGACGGGGTAAGGGGGGAGAGCAAGCGCAAGTATCAGAATCCAAGTTTTATTTATTCGACGTTCGCGTCGCGGAGCGGAGAGACGCGCGGTTCGAGCGCGGAAAGCGGGAAAGCTCGATCAATTTCCCGTCGATTAACCGGCGATCACCAGACTCCTCCCCCGCCGCTTGTTTAATGTTCCTTTTATTCTCCCGCGCGCGGGAGGGACTACGTACACAACAGTTTACACAGTTTGCTTCGAGTTAAGCTAAGATAGCCATGAAATTAATTGCTTGGGGCAGCGCTTAGGAGAGAGTCTCGAGCGACTACTACTCCTGCGCGAGCAATAGCTCGTTAATCCGCCATTGATCTAAGTAAACCTGGCGGCATGCAAAGCATCTGAGGGACGGAAGCTGTGCGCGTTTAAACTTGTATATTGCACTACGCCCCGTTTGTGTTTTCTCTCGCGTTTTAAGACGCGCGATGAATGATATGTATACGCGGAGGAATCTTCAACATCGCGCGAAGAAACAAAAAACCCCCGAGCGAATGCGCGTTATAAATCGAAAAAAAAAAAAAAAAACGCGAGTGAAAAAGACACAAACGGAACAAGAGGAAAATCGCGCGAGAGATAGAAACGCGCTCCCTTTGCTCTCTCTCTCTCTCTCTCTTTCTCTCTCGGTCAAACGTGACAAACCTATTTGATTCCGTTGCGCCCCTTCCGGCTGAAACAAACAATCCTCCCTCGCCTCATCCGGAAACGTTGCACGGCAAGCGAGCTGCATCCGTTCCACAGCAACAGGCGGCGACGAGCCCGTGCCAGAGATTTCGCGGCTCGGTGTGGTTTGGGTGGCGCGCGTACGTGTGCGGGGAAATACGAGGGATGGGCGAGGGGATGGATGGTGGGACGGTCGTTCTCCGCATCCCTCGTCTCTCTTTTTGCTCGTCGTTGACCCCGACGTTATAACCGCGCGCGAGAAGTACATTACGCTCGCGATGTCGCGTCTACGTTATATCCGCACGCGCGCGAGCGGATTTACTCCGTCTTCGCGGTCCCGAGGTAAATTTCTTCGGCGGCGAAAGAAATCCTCTCCCGTTGCCGAGAGGTCGGGAGGGTTGTGATGTACGTCCAGAAAGCGGGAGAGTAATTTATCTTCGCCGGAGTCTGCGCGCGCAGGGGGAGCTTTTACCTTTTTGCTCTCGCCGCGAGCGCGTCGTAAATTAACGTTGCGGATATGCGTTACGCGTACAATGATGGAGCGTTACGCGCTCGATGATAAAGTGTGGCCGAGACACATGCGCGGGCACTTTAATAAGGAACGCGGTGATCAAGTCGCTCGTTACCTCTCGCGCGCGACGAGTGTTAATCCGATCGGAGATTGTCGCGCGCTGCGTTCTATTTTACCGAGTAATTCAATATACAGCGTGATATTACGTCGCGTATATATCGTATATTTATATATGTACACACACACACACACATACGCACGCACGTATGAAAGACACAGACGCGCGTTCAATGCGGCAGCGCTCGCTATGTCGGAAATCGGAATGCACACGCACGCGGGTCAACCCCCGGCATGTTGTACCCGGTCCTCTTTGTCTCTTCCTCCGCCGTACATTCCATTCGCGCGTTTACGCATTCAATTGTTGCAGACGCGCGCATTCCGTTCGCGAAGCGATTCTCCGACGTGTAAATCTCGTCACAAATAAATGTATCGCAATTCGCTCTCCCTCGCGGGATCGCTCGGAAGGAATCCACGTTTTGCGAAGATTGCGAGAGCGGGCGGGAAGCGAGCCTCCGAGCCTAAAATGGCACATCGCGTGCGGGAAGGGCAAGAAGGAAGTTTCAGAACCTGCGGGAAACCCTCAGACGATGAAAGCAACGCGGTCGATCGCGAGCGAGGGTGAGACCATCGGCTTGTGCAGACGGAGTTGGAATCCGAGGGTCGGTGGGCGCGCTCGAGGGTGGAGAGTGAAAGGGTGGGATGTGTTTTAGGGCCGGTCGATACAGCCGAAAGTCCAGAGCGCGCGAACGAGCGAGAGAGAGAGAAAGAGAGAGAGAGAGAGAGAGCAGCGCGAAAATTCGTGTTGATGAGAATATATCGTCGCGCGAGGATCTAAACGGAAAGAAGGGTGGCTTTTGCTTCTTTCTCGTCGCCGCCACCGCTACCGCCGCCACCGCCACCGTCGCCGCGTCCCTCCTCCTCTCGCTACTTTTTCTCTCTCCTCACGTGTTCTCCCTCTTTCCTCGCGCGCCCTTGTATAAGTCCGTGCTCTTTGTGACTCTGGAGAGTCTCGTGTTTCCTCGTCATAGTCGTCGACAACGACGACGACGACGTCGCGGTTGGCCTTGTTCGTTTCAGCAGCGGCGCCGACCAACGTTTCCACGCCGTCCACAAACAATACGTAAGCGGGAGCGTTAATTATTTTAAGCAAAAATTTCGAGCAGCCTCGTTACGGTTAACGAGGTACTCGAGCGAGTCGAAGAAAGTCGGAGTGCTTTTTATTTTCGCCGGAGACTTATTTTTTTGTTCTTATCTTTGTAGTTTTCTACTTCTACGAATTAACGTCAACATATATAATACGAACGCACGCTTGTCGAACGTGATGACACGCACACACCCACACACACACACACACGAAACCGACGACAACAAATAGCCCAATTTGACTGACTGTCAGACTGAGGGAAATGATACGCGCGTCGCGAAAGAATTTATTACGATATATTGATGCGCGCGAGCTATAGACGACATTTATTCACATAACGTATGTGTCGCGCGATTCTCCGATCGTAAATTTGTGTGTTCATAGGATTTTATCGTTCACGAGCGATTGCGAGTGATTGATTTTATTAGTCGCCAAACAAATGTCTCTTACGTGTTGTGTTGTTTCTTTTTTCCAGTTTCTTTCTATTCCGCGCTTGTTTACATTTCAGCGTCTATTACGTTTCACGAATAAATTATTTTCCCTGCGTTTATTTCTCCCATCGCCAACATTTAATCTATGCTACGCACGCGGTCTTGGTTCACGATGTGAATATCTGTGACACACGCAATTATTCTTACACACGCATAAACAATTACACCGTACAATTGATAATTTCTGATTATTGTTGAGTCAATTATTAAACGCAGCTTCGACGCGACATTTGCAATTAGTAACACTTTTCATGCAAACAATCTATATTTGTTCCCTCCTCTTTAAACGCGTATATATCGACGCATAAATATTCATATTAATTTTCACAGATGTTTTCATTTAATATTTGTTAACTTGTACTCTCGCGAGAACGAGCGCAAGAGTCAAAATAGCTGGCTATTATTACAGTCTACAATTAGCGATAATATACAACGGTGTATAACCTCTCGGCGCATTGATGCAAAAACGCGATTGCGTCCGTTACGTATTATATGTTCAATGTAATAATAATTATATTAATCAGGAAGCGAATATGAGAAGTGTGCACTATGATATTCTATTTTATATAAAAAAGTGTATTGTTAATACGTACACATACGCGCTCTCTTAGAGTAGAATGAGTTAAAATTTCACTAATTGATTCAGTGACAAATTAGTTTCACTGGGAATCAGTGAGAATATATCGCTGATTGATTTAGTGACAAATAGTTTCACTGGGAATCAGTACCATTGTCACCGAACGTCATTTTACATATTAGTTTTGTAATAACTGCTCTCGAGAGTCTCAAGCTAGTTAGAATTGGTGGAGCGTTCGCTTGGTAATCAGAGGATTCCAGACTCGAGAGTTCAGTCGAGATGATCGATTCCAATAGGTTTTTTTTTTGTCTACAAATTAATATTAGGTAGCGTAGAAGATGACCAAGAAAAGTTAATCGAAGACGTTAATTATAAAAATAATTCGAATTGCAGTGAATATTCGCTGATTGTCATTGCGATGCAATGATTCTACATATATATTTTCTTTAAATGTTTTATAATACCAAAGATTCTTAAATATTTAACATCTCAGATATTTTATCATAAAATTTTATCAGTTCTCTGATAGTAATTATATGTCTTTTGAATAGACTTATTTGAATCGGTAAAAATATTCACTAATTGTCAGTGCGATGCAATCCTACATTTATGTCATGTGTTTAAATATTTCATAATATCAAAGATATACAATTAAATAAAATAATGTTTTATAATTCAAACACTTTTAAATATTTAATATTTCAGATAGAGTTCATCGTACAATTTATTGATTTTCTGCGATAGTAATTATACATGTTTTAAATAATTCTTAATTTGTGTCACATTATCACTCCGTTCTCATACATAATTTCGCTTCCACGACTCGCAAGATATTTTCTATCGCGTCTCTATGGCGACCTAATTACATTTCTGCTGGAAATGTCCGCCGGCTATAATCATTGATGAATACCTAAGCCCACAGAAGAGTCTTTTTCCGCTGTGCTCATAGATACCGTTAAATATCGACTATGTTCGTTCGATAGCGCGGCGCGACGCGGCTATCGAAAATTCGTTCAACGTCCCGCAGTAATCGGATTTGTGCGAGCCGATGCTCCTGCGATTTCGACTAATTATTGTCTGTGTTAATTAAAACGTGTTGCGCGTACGCGAATATTAGGGATCCATTAATGTAATGCGCGTCGTTTGTTTCGCTCCTCGCGGTCGTTCGACGACGCGCGTCACACCGCCGGATGTCGTTTCATATTAATTTTAATTAACGATCTAATTAAAATGAATTCCCACCGTGAGAAAAGAGTATCTTCTTGGGAAAACGATGTTATCATTCTTCCGAGGCTTTTGTTGTCTTGTACCATTTAGATATTTAAAGGTCATTTGCGAAGAAAAAACGACGACTGTCTGCCTGAGATTTTTTGCCAACAAAACACATTTTTGTTGACAAAGCAAAACCTTCACTAGACTCGACAAATGTTTCTTGCTGGCTGTATAATGGTAAAACTTTTTTCCGCGCGTATTAACCGCGTAGAGGGTCGGAAGTGGCCAATATATTGGCTCCGAATCTGCGCGATATAAACTTTATATACAAGACGCACGCTAATACGTGTTTACAAGTTTTCAGATATATAAGAGTATCGAGAGTACAACAAGATTTTTCAAAAGAAAAACCGCTGACTCTCTAAGAATTAATAGATACCTTATCAAATTGATGTAGTGCGATATATAAATCTTTTTACAATTAGTTATGTGCAAAACTGGAAACGCGCATGTATTAGGAAGAAAGTTAATATTTGAGCGTTTTGTGTAAAGTGCAATAAATACATGAAACACATATATACGCGTATGTGTAGAACGCGCGGGAATATTCATGTATCTTAGTGATTTATGCGCGTTCCGCTAATCTCGTGTTCTTTTATCGCGATATCGCATCTCGCCGAGTTTCGAAGTAAAGCGCGATATATAAGCGCGTCCCGTATAGGATGACGCCGTATGCAAAACGGGTGAAAATGCAGCGCGCATTATGCGCGCGCACACACGTTGCGAGAGGAGAAGACAGTTGCGCGAGAATGTGCAATGGCGTTTTACTTTTTAATTAGACGCACGCGTGCGTCTAATTAGCGTTATTCTCATGTCGTCTTGGTCGCGCGTACACGTTATGCAAAGTTGAATTTGTCTCGTCACGCACTTGACAGTCGCGCGACAGCACGTCGACTGTCATTATCATCATCATTATCAACATCGTGTGATTCGTGTCGTTTAATTCCGATCTTCTGCCGTTGCACTCGCACGTTTCTCGCCGCAACGTACGTAACAATTAATCGTATTTCTTCGCTATAAAGAGTTTCTTGCTCTCGTAGTAGTATCACGAGGTCGTAAATTTCGGTCAGCACGTGTGGCGGCGGCGTAGTAGTTAAGAAAATTTTGCTGAAACCGTTGCGGCAAACTTTTCGAGAGTTTTCGCACGATTTATCACCGGTATCGGAATTTTCGTGTTTTGCCGCACGATCCGGTATTTTCTTTCTCGCGCGATGTCTTAGAGTTTTAAATTGCGCGGTTTTTTTGACATCGTTCCGCGCGATTAATTCGTTTCGATGCGCTCGTAATATTTTTTCTTCAGTCGGAAAAATAATAAAACGTGTCATCCGCCGGCAATGTGATAATTCAATAAGCGGGGTTGCAGGTTGCTAGACCATCAGCGACTATTCACGCAAAACTGCGCTCGCGCGCGCGTTGAAGAGAGATAGAGATAGAGAGAGAGAGAGAGAGAGAGAGAGAGAGAGAGAGAGAGAGAGTTTCCATTTTTCCGTACGGTGTGTTTTGCGTCGCGATCCCCGACGGCGCCCCCTTATTGTCCGGCGATGTCGCGTTTTTTTGTTTTGCGCGATAAATTTATCGTCGCCATACATCAGCTCTCGGGCATCCCGTGTATGGAGCGCCACACCGGCGCGCCGTGACTAGAGCTCGTCCACTTATCTAGCGCGCCCTTTATTTCAGTCGCTCCACAGTGACAAATAACGCCGGCGTATACATATATATATCTATCTATCTCGGTTTTTAATCGGGTACGCCATAAATTCGGCATAACTATAGCGCGCGATTTTTGCCGCCAAGGTTATTATTCCGCGGAGCGCGAGTAATACGCAATGCAATTTGCATCTTCCAAGTCGAGGATACTCGATAATGGAACGCGCGCGCGTGTTCTCCTCGCTTTCTGTCACGCTTAACGTCATTAGGTCGCACAATGCAGCGAAACGTTTGTTCGCGTTTTCATTAATTTCGAGTGCGGGAGTTCAGCGCGCGACTATATGTTTTTCGGCGTCAAAGCTCTCACGAACGGGGTATAGGGGGGGAGAAGGACTTTCCATTGTTTCACGAATTTCCATTGTGTTGTACTCATTTTTTTGTTGTGATATGCGGAGCGCGCGGTTATTTCACATATGTGTACATGTATATATATATCTATCTGCCGCCGCGAGGTTGCGTGTATATAGCGCGCGCGCGCGCGCGCGGGGCGGCTGACCAGGCCGGTCACTTATCTACTGCCGTTTCTCTCTTTGTTCCAGGCGAAATTGGAAACTAAAGCGCTGAAAGCGAAGAGGCCGGGATTCACGGACGAGCGGTACAACGAGACCAGTTATTACGTGGAGCACGGTTAGTATCTCTTCTGTTGGACGTTTCGAATTTAATCCGGAGGACTTCAGGCTCCCTTCCCTTTCCTCTACACGGGACGCGGTCGCGTTTTAACAGATTATCCGGTCGGATTTAACGTGTCGCTCTTTACGCGCGAGATCTTCACCTTCCGATGAACCGCCAAGATTGCGGGAATTACTCGCGCTCGTGTCAAATTCAGTTTGTCCGGAAAATATTGAATTAACTCTTTAGAGAAACGTTACAGTAGTTTCGAATGATTGTGTTCTATTCTAAGAATTTCTTTTTACAGCTGTAAAAAACAAAAGAAGGTGGTGACTGCGATACGTAAATCTTGATTGCAATATTAATTGCTTTTGCGAATTTAATCAATTATTTCATCGCGATTTTGTGCGATCTCTTGTTTATACTCGCAATCGTAAAAAAAGCGCGTGGAAAATGCTCACAAAATGCGCAACGGTGGTTGCAAACCGCCCTTGAATGGAAACAGTTAATTTTCAACAGTGTTAGTCTTACACTCGAGTGCGCGAGTTTGCCAACCGTCGCGCCGGAGTCAAGTAATCATGGATAATCCGTCGGATAAATACAACTGGCGCGATAATCTTCCAACACTCTCTCTGTCTCTCTCTCTCTCTCTCACTCAATCTCTCAAAGTACGAGCGAGGCTCTTTCCCTGCTCTGAAAGGAGAACGAAAGGAGATAGAGCGAAAATTGCGACGCAACAGATTTCACGAGGCGCCGATCGACGTGTTTCCGACGAGCGCCATCGATTTCCGATTTTCTCCATTATTTTCGAATTTCAAGCCAATTTAGATATAAAACGCGATACCAATTACCTTCCGCCGATGGTGTTCTCCATCCGGGGCGGCGGTCCCGTGGCGATAAATTCTTTTACGAGAAGGTATTTGAGCGCGTCATCATCGCGAAATGTCATCAGACACGTTGCGCGATATTTAGCTTCTCGAGTATATATATGTATATATATTCGGCAAACACAATAATCTCGTGGAAAGTTTTCCCGATGGCTCACGCATCTAAAATTCAAATCGAACGACACACGGGAGGAGAAGAACTGCTTATCTCAAAACCGCAGCAGTGTAAAAGGGCATGTCCGTCACACGGGGAAGGGGAGGAACTTCAAAGGGATCTCTCCGCGTTATTCGCCGCGAGCTCTGTGATACGAGCCTTGTCGAAGGCCGGCCGGTATATTCCTTTGTGGAATAAAACTGTCGCGTCATGTATAAACTCGTACATATATACGTACGTACGTTACAACTCCGTTGGATTATATATACGCGTGTGCGGCAGTTACGTCGATATGTTTCTACTCTGCTGGTTTTTACACACATTCGTGTTCCGCGATACAATCCTTTATCGGAGCGTGTACCGCGCGCGATACGCTGTTGTCGCGCGGCAACTCGATCGAGAGAGAGAGAGAGAGAGAGAGAGAGAGAAAGAGAGCAGCAGCCTCTTCGTCATCGCGTATTATCGGCGCGTATTGTCGCGAATCGGCGTGACGGATACGGAAGCTCATTATTGTCGACAAAAGCTCGAGGATAACGCGAACCATTTCGGCGCGAACACGAGGAAAGTAAAATCCGAAATTGAAAAAACGAACGGAGGGAGCAGAAGGGAATGACGGATAATTAAATTATCGTTTCGACGAGAAGAACTTATCGGTTCTCATCCGTGTGTGTCGATACATTGTGCGCGCGTTCCGATAATCAATGCGAACACAGCCCGTTAAAGCAAATACGGAGACGCCGCTATTTCCGTTTTCACCGAAACACGCCATTGTGTCTTTGTTTCATTTTTTTTTGTTTTTGTTTTTGTTTTTAATAGTTGACTCATCGTCTCGGAAAAGAATTTAACGACTGCGATGCGATCGAAGCGGATCAAATCACGTGCCGTTTTTTCACGATGCCGATTACCAGAGAATCGAAGAGAAATCGAGATAAGACTTTTTTGAGAAAGAGGCGAGTCAAACGTTTTTACATAGTGCAAATAAAATTTTATCGTTTTAAATTTTCCTTATCGTTTTTGTGCTGTTTTATCGTTGAATTCTATTTTTTTTTTTTTTAATGAACACATCTCGTGTTTGTTAAATCAGAAAACGATATACCGCAATTTTAGCATTTCTATCTAAGGGGAACTCCCTTGTGTATCGTGCGCGCGAACGGGGGATATAGGCAATGCGGTAACTACTTCCCAAGTAGTTGGACTCGGCGTTTCTTTCGCCGAACCGTCGGAGAAACGCGATTAACGTACTTCCATCGCGAAAGAGAAGAAAAGCCAACGGCGCCGCCGACGGCCGTCTCGGTCTCGGGAACGATCGGGTCGGGTATTGTCGGATCGAGCGATACGCCGACGTGGGCTCATTATCGCGAGTTAGCGTTGCCATTCGCGATAACGACCGTTTCGCGGTTAACAGAGAGAGAGAGAGAGAGAGAGAGAGGAGAGACGAAGGAGGAGAAGGTGGAAGTCGAGGCGAGAATACGGAATTGCCGTATGGCGGAAGACGCACGAAGAAAGGAGTGTGCGCGAAGGGTACCGGACGGTTAACAGAGAAAGGGATCGATCGATCGATCGGATATTTCGACGGGCGAACGGTATAATATCGACAACCAATATCTCTGCTCCACATTCGGAATAATAGAGAGAAGACGACGCGTACTGCATATATATATATACTTATACAGATATATAGATATATATATATATATATATCTCCCACGACGAAACAAAGACCTATTAATGCCACTCGGAAGACAGACAGCTGCACGTACGTTGTTCCTCTTCTACGCCCCCGCGTGAATTCCCTATCCGTCTTGCGCGCCCCTTAAATGCACTATGCTCGATCGAACTCGAAGACGTCGTCGCGGGACGTTTCCAGCAGGTACATGTTGGTCGGCGCAAGCTCGTTGCGGGAATTAAGGGCGGCGTATTGTTCGAAGTAGGTCAAAAAAGGATTGGTCTCTTTCGGGTCTCGCGTTCTCGGGAGATAATATGATAATGAGAGAGAGAAAGAGAAAAAAAAGAAAGAGAGTCCGTCTCTTAGCATATTGTTTTTTTTTTAATTTATCTTCTAAATTAAAATTTATCGGTTTTTAAATACTTCCGAAAGCAATGTCGAAAGTGTACATTTGAAAATTTCTAAAAACCTTTTCCGAAACTCGATCGTTAATCGTCTATTCCATAATCGTTTCGGGGGAGGGAATTTTGCTCGGCGAAATAGCGGATCCGATGCCATTCCGGGCGCTCGTAAGGATTCGACGAGCGGTTGTAAGAACGCTCGTCGTAACGCCGCAAACGGCGGCGGGGGAATTTGAAAGCTCAAAAATTCGAAACGTCGGCTTAGCGTCGCATACGATGGGATCTTCACCATCTGCGATCAAGCTACGTTATCCTCGGTGGGCCGCGATGGGTAACACACTCTCGCGTGCACGTGAGCCACACGCGCACATACACGTCGACTTACGAGCGGGGAATCCGAGCGGGGTGGGTTTCTACGTGATTCAAATCTAGATCTTAGTTCCTGTCCCGGGGAGTTAAGAAGCGTACGTTATCGAGCCGAGAAATCCCGGGGTTTCGGATAATTCGGTCCCGGCTAACTACTCGATCTTTCCTTTTTCTTTTCCTTTCTCCGACTTTCCACATCTTCGGCTTTTCTTCTCTTTCTCGGCAAAGTTCCGGAAGCGCTTTATTCGCGATGAATATCCGGAAACGCATTGAATAAATAAATTCTGCGCGGTAGATCCGGGTTTTGACTCTTCTGGCCAAGATATTTTTTTCACAATGGAATTTTTCAATTTTACAGAGAGGTAAATCGAACATTTCAGATATACGAGATGCAAACTAAACATTTTTGTATATATGTAAATATTTTCGAATTAAATTTAATTCGAATTAATTTACACGCTTGAAAATATATATTTGCACACACACATCTTTGGCTCGTATCGCCCTAATAGTTTTGATGAAATCAAGTTTCGAATAACATTGAATATTTTATATGACCTGATTTCTCTTTATTGTGTTAAATAAAGTATCTAAACTTCTGGCTCTCGCGTGTTGGCATGTGAACAAGTCGGAGACCTGAAATCTTATCTCACAAGTATATAAATACATCGTTTGATGAGAGTTGTTTAGAAAATAAAACGAGCGATTATCATGTCGCATTACGGAGATCTTTTCACAAGCATTGCACCGATCCGGTTCCGCGATTCGTCAAAAACGTGCGCTGCTCTAATTGGCCAACGATGAAGCTTCTCACGGTTTTGATCCCGCCCCAAGTTTTGGCACTTGCCAGCAACTCTTGACGAAGGAAGAACGTGTTGGCAAGCCCTTTGCGACGGAAACGCGAACTTCTCTCTCTGCTCGCGCGCACGCTCGCCGAAGACTCTCGCGCGATTTTCTGGCGCGTCCTGTCTGCCAAACGATGCTGAAGACCCTCGAATAAATTTATATAGTCAACGAGATACGTGGCTTTTTTTATATTGACTTTTTTTTGTGACCCTGAGGGGAACAAATAAAATTCATCTATTTACATATTGACTTTTTTATGTTTAATAAATTAACGATAAAAAAGTTTATCAGTTTTATTACAACAAAGTTATCATTTTTATTATAACGTTTTGCATTTATCGAAGTAATGAAAATTGTTGCATATTATTATTACATGTTATTATTATATGTTTCATCTCTTTGTACTGTGATGCGTAAAATAATATGCACAAAGTATTTTACGTATAAAAAATGCATCTTGCTCATTGGACGTTCTTCTTTCGCTTACTTTGCGCGATATCGAATTTTGTCCGTTGCGTTTTTCCCAGGCAAACGAATTCGGCTATATATCGGGAATCATTAACATGAGTGAAAAAAAAAAAAAGCTCGATCGGATTAGTTCAGCCAGTTAATTTTAAAACGGAAGCGACGGGAGAGACAAAAAAGAGAATCGTAAAATGCGCAGCGAGAACGATTGGGAGAATTTCCCCGTGTTCGTA